ACAAAATATTTAATACATTTAACAGTAAACGAATTGAGTTTCTTTTTTTCATGTTTTCAGATAAAACGTTTAGCCATCTTGACATCATTTGTTGTAAGAATAACTTTGTGTTATTCAGCTTGAAAGAGAACAGGTTAAAATCGTTTGGTGTCAGACACACTGCCTTCTTAACTGAGCAATGGTGAGATGAAAAAGATCCTTCAGGCCTTCAGTCATGGTACCAAACATTCATACTCTGGCTTCCATCTTCAAAGTCCATTCAAGAGCCATCAAAGGAACGGGGAATAAGTTTAAAAAAGAGGGAATAGCAGAGAGGAAAACTGAATCTGGAGGTCACAACAGGAAGAGGGATCATCCTTTCAACTTAGAGCTAAAGGGATCAATTAGAAAAGATAAAACTTAATCCATAAGACGTTTGGCACGTGAGAGAGGAGTTTCATTTATGACAGTCCAAAGAGCAGTGAAAAAGACTTGAAATGAAATCGTACATGAAACCTGTGAGGCACCTTGTTACACAAGGACAGAAAGTTAGAGAGGGCGAAAATCATCTTGAATAAGTTAAAAATGGCCCTGGAATATATATATATATATATATATATATATATATATATATATATATATATATATATATTGTCACGTAGCAACGATTTCATTAACCATATAGGCGTTAGGCTAAAGTAAAATCTTAAATAAAGAGAAAATTAGTTAGATATAAAAGAAAGATAAATAAATAGATAAAAACAGAAATTTAATCCAATGCTTCCGATTCGCGAGCGAATATATTCTATGATCAGCCATACCCCCTCTTCTCTTCACAAATTCTTTTCTCCTTATCTCTCTTCCACCCGCCAGCCAAGGGCCCGTGAACTTAGAAGTGACCCGACGCGAGGATGACCTGGTTCTAAGATTTCGCGTTTGACCATGAGTAAACCCAGACACCATCAGGGTCTCATGCTGCGATTCACGTGATCGGGACATACGGAGCATGCGTTGAACTTTTGGCCATCACACAAACACTGCGTGATTTGCGCCCTATTCTCCTGCGTACCCGGTCAAGGACGAAGGGAACCCACGTGACTGTCTGTGGGGACAGCGAAAACCAAAGAAGGATTTTTCAGTTTCCCTCTGACCAGCGTCAGTTGAACATCGCTGGGCAAAAATCGTCAGACCGCCCACTGAGATGAGGAAGACCACGAAGTCTATCGACCAGTGATTGAACACTTGCGAAAAGAAGAAGAATCCAGGAACATTGTCGGCCGGCCAAGATACTGATTTATCATCAGAACTCTCGCTTCGGCGAATCAAAACTTTGTGAAGATACCAGCCCGACTGCAAGATAAGTTGGTTCTTTTGGCTCGATCTATTTTCATATATGTATGTATTCGCTCGCGCCTTCTATTCTTTACTGATGTCCTCCCCTTTGTTAAATGAATGTTCTTTTTTTTTCTTTCTTTGTTTCGCTATATATATATTTATAAATAAATGTTTAATTTTGAAAGCCATCGTCTTGTGTCTGTTCTTCGTTGATTCCCTTGTGTCGCTTCCATTTCTGAGTGAAGACCGAGAAAAAGAAACCACGTTTTCCTTTTTTTTTAGAACCCGTGGTACATCTATATGCTACAAGTTCGTAACATATAAAATTGGGGGCTCGTTCCGAGAATCTTTTCTCCCTGTTTTTTTCACTCAGTAAGAATCGCACAACTTCAGGGTATCGCCGAACTACAGGCCAAGATGTCGGTTATAGATAGTTTTCTCGCATCGCCCTCTATGGAAAAATTATGTAAGCTTAAGAAGGATGATATAGTTGAAATAGGGAAGGAATTAGAACTAGAGGTAACGAAGTCTATGAGAAAAATTCAGCTAGTCAGGATAGTCTGTGAGCATATGGTAGATAACGACGTTTTCGACGTAGAAGAATTAAGTAAATTATCACTAGACACGTCGGAACTTTCGCAGGCACAACTCGAGCTCGAGAAAGTGAAAATTGAGGCCGAGGCTAAGGTCAGAGCCGAAGCTGAAAGAGCAAAGGCTGAAATAGCAAAAGCTAGAATCGAGCAAGAAACTAGATTTCGGGAGTTAGACGAAAAGCGGGAACTTCACGAAGCTAGAAGTAGTGAGTTCGACTTAGCGAAGCAAGTCCGACTCGTACCGCAGTTTAACGAGGCTGACGTCGACAAATATTTTCGGCATTTCGAAAAGGTCGCCTCAAACCTAGCATGGCCCATAGAAACGTGGCCAATTTTACTGCAGACCGCACTAAAAGGCAAAGCTCAAGAAGTGTATGCCGCGCTCTCAGTAGCAGATTGCGGTGAATATAGCATTGTGAAATCGGCCATTTTAAAGTCGTATGAGCTTGTGCCGGAGGCATACCGGCAAAAATTTAGAGCCTGCCGAAAGGGAGACAAACAGACTTATGTAGAATTCTCTAGACAAAAAGAAACCTCTTTCGATAGATGGAGTTTATCGAAAACATCGAGTCAGATCACGATAGGCTAAGGCAAATGATACTGATAGAGGAGTTCAAAGAATGTGTCCCTGATAATTTGAAAACCTACCTCGATGAAAAAAAGGGTAGATACTTTATATGAGATGGCCACCCTCGCTGACGAATACGCGTTAACACATAAGCGGGGTACGTTCAATCATAACAACCCATCCGAATTTGGAAGCGGTCCACACCCAAGACGTGGATCTGGTTCTGGTCCGAATTCGAAGTTTGGTCGATCGGTTAGTTCAGGCCAACTCCCCAGTCCGAGAGATACCAAATCTCAAAATCCTAGTTCTCCGTCACCGGTTTATCGGCAGACGAATAGGAGAGAGAGGAAACTCCCGATGTGCCACTACTGCAATAAAGTAGGACACCTCGTGTCGAATTGTTGGACGAAGCGGAATGCCGAGTCCAGAGCCCTAAGTCAAGAGAGACCCCAAGGGCTAATTTCTTCCGACAGCGTTACCCTAAATAGGAAACCGAATGAAGATGTGAGGGAGGAGTATAGGCCATTTGTGTCTAATGGTGCTGTATCCCCCGTTGATAACCCCACGAAGAAGAAATCCGTGAAGATCTTGCGGGACACTGGGGCCACTCAGTCCCTGATTGTGGAGAGCTTCGTGCCGTGTGGATCGGATTCGGCCACTGGCGAATTTGTTATCATACAGGGTGTTAACAGCAACTTTGTTAGCGTTCCCCTTCATCGAATCCACCTCACGTCTGGGTTAGTTTCTGGCCCTGTCGAGTTCGGAGTAGTTCCTAGTTTGCCTATGAAAGGCATATCCATGCTGTTAGGAAACGAATTGGCGGGTGGTAGGGTGATACCCCACCCTAAAGTAGTTCCGAACCGGTTGCTTCGGTAGACACCGAAGATATCGAGGAAGAGAATCTCGATATATTTCCCTCGTGTGCAGTGACCAGAGCACAGGCCAGAAAGAAGGCCGATGAAAAGATAAACGAGATAATCGATAGGACAGAAGACGAAGTGATAGACCTATCGCAGACGTTTATAAATCCTGATGTGGGATTAAATTATCCTCCCGATAGTAACCCAACTGGAAATAGCGATGGTATTGTTGAGCCCGCTATGGACATTCCATTATCGAGGAGAGCACTTATAACAGAGCAGGGGAGTGATTCTGAGCTCACCCCACTCTTCCGTCACGTATTGCCC